TCTAGTAATATTTGGTTGTTATGTGGGAATTTCTACACTGTAGGCCTATTTTCTTTGGGATATGTCCCCCTCCCTACAATTAAAGTTTGGCCAATTCACCCTCCCTCAAATACACACGCATGAACTACAGATGAACTACTCCCTACATATTTTATATTTCACATTACTAGCCCTGTTTTTGTGTTACATTATCTTACGGGCCGAGTTGGTATGTCTAAAATCAGGATATTTTAAACCAGGAGACGACTTAGGACATTTTTAAGTTGCCTACTTGATTCCTGAGCTGAGTTGATCACCGGCCGTTGAGATAAGTTAGATTAAGTTACTTCCCATTATCAGATTAACAAAAAATAAATCAAAAGAAAAATTAAATATATTTTCACGTTAGTTAAAATTGATATTTGTTGTATAAAAAACGATATATAAATTTAAAAATCATCTATATCTCATATAAAACAGATGAATAATAGATAACTAACGGTCTGGATTTGTTTAAAGCCAGTATAAACCGCTTTTGCTATTACTTTCTCTTTCTCCTGGGTCTTTGACGTGATTCGTCTATTTTAAATAGCATCGACAAAATTTTCTTCATTGGTTCATTTGTGCAGTAAACACCCACTTATATTTTAAGAATGCTTATTATTTTAAAATAAATAACATAAAAATATTAATCAAATTTTAATAAATTTATTGTTTTCATACGTGTTAATATCTATTTTTGGGAACGCCACTGCGCTCTGGCTAATGGCGTTTCCGTGGCCCTCTTTCATAAGTAAGCCCGAAGGAGTGAGAAGTGTTCTCGAAAGTCTTTAGTTAAAAAGAGATGTCAAACGTTAACAAATCCGTGAAACGTAGTGAAACAAACATAAAATCACCTAAATCAGCTTAATTTGCGCAACGCACACAGTGACGTCACAAAGTAGGGCGGAGAATACACACAATAAAGAGAAGATGCCATAACGATACTAAGGCTGAGTTCTGTTTGGCGTTCGCTGTACTCAGAGTGCACTCGGTATGCCTCGATTGTGGTCGCCTTGGCACTCAGAGCGTACTCTTTTGTGTTCGGCTTGCCACAGATCACGTACTCAGGTCGCGCTCACTCTTCCCCGAGTTGGCCGATGGAGATCAGCGGGTATTTGTAGGAATTTGTTGAAAATGTCAAATGTCAATTTTCTGATCGGTGATTAATCAGTTTTACACGTAATATTTCTTGTTTGTTTCTGTTATAACTATTTTCTATTTGATTAAAATAATTTTTTTACAGTCCATAGACACACAAAAGCGTATTCAAGGGCAAACTATCACTGGTGTCATATGTCATTCCCCTTGTGTTCGTCTTGAGATTCTAAAAAGAGTGAACTCTGTCTATGACGTCACGCACTCCGTGCGCGCTCTGTGCGATCCGTCGAGTTCCAAACCGAACTTTTTTTTTTTTTTTTTTTTTTTTCTTTATTGGTCTCAACTTATACAAGTTATTTAACCAGCACTAACATTAGTTACATGAAAATAAATACAATAAAATTTAAAATACTATTTGGCTCTGTAAAATTAAAAAAAAAATAAGGTGAACAATATTTTTTATAAATTAATGTTAGAAGATTTTAAAAATGACATGATTATGGCTGTACTGCAAATTGGTTTTCGTAAATAATCATTTAGACATAAAGGGGAATACTGGGGTCGAAAAGCTAAAACCATTTTTTGGTATAAGAATTTTATATTATCTGTATTATTACTGCATTCCATCAAGATATGACCTAAACTTCCAATTTCACCACAGCTGCAACTTGGGGAGTCAAGGATACCAATTCGGAACAGATGAGCAGAACTATAGCAGTGACCAATTCTCATTCTGCACATTGTACCGATTTGTCCCTTTGTTAATTTAATTTTAAAAAACCAGGGTGTTCTAGGCAGTTTGTTTAATATATTAAAAAGTTGCTTTCCCGTAGTTTGACTCAGTTCTCGCCATTCTTCACTCCAATCATCCCAAATTTTATTTTTAACTCTGGGTAGCATATTTCTATAATCCATTGTCATTACGTCAGAATAATGTTTGTTAAGTCCTAATTTAGCAAGTTTATCAGCTATGACATTTCCCTTTATATTCGTATGACTAGGTATCCACGCAAAAGTAATATTTATATTCTTAAGTTTTGCATCGTAAATCTGACTTTTAACATTTAAACTGCAGCTATCTGAAAGTGTCCGCACAGTTTTACGACATATGTCAAACTCAAGCAAGTGGAGTTAGTCAATTTTAGTGAGAATAAATACCATTTTTTTTTAAATAGCACGTCTTAAATGATATAAAAATCATTTTTATTTAGTAAATCTTCAAATATAAAATTATTAATGTCAAATTAATCAAAATATTACCGAAAATGCGTTCACTTGTCAAAATAGTGTTTATGTCCTCTCTACATTATTTTGTCTTGATGTTTCCAATCAAGCTGTCAAACTCTAAAATGCATCATAAGACAATTTTATTTGTGTTCGTTTAAAAATCGTGTTTAAATAAAACTGCGAAATTATTAAATCGGAAGTATGTGTGTCAATCCAATGATTGTTAACGAAACACATCTCCAAACTACAGGTAAAACATTTACTATTATTTTTAAGATTATGTTTATATTTTGTTTTGTACCAGTTTCTACTAAATAGTCATGTGTTATACACAACTCGAAAATAGAAAACTGCGTAACTAAATGGATACAATGTCATCGGTATTCTTTTATAGGAAAACCATCAAAATTAAGCGATGACTGAGTTCCATCAAGAAATAGGCTTTTATGGCAACCTAACTCTAAACAGATTTTAGATTGCAATTGCCAGCCAAGAAAGATCATTGTACATTGTACCAGAAGGTATTTCAAAAGTACGACAATTTTATTTGAACAAGGATAATTTCTTTACCCTATACTTTTGTATGAATAATTGTTTTATTTTGTAGGTTGTCCCTAATGAATTTGAAGTTATAGAAAGATGTCCTATCTATAAATGCTAAAGGTACTGATAAACAGTGTCAAACTGATGTAGCGGTGAGGATTTAACTTGAATGATGGTGTAGCATGCGTTTACAAAAAAGTGGAAGCTAAACTTACATTACAATTTTTTTAAACACGATAAAAAAATAAATATTGCACTTGGCTAAATTAATTCAAGAAACTAAATAGCTGTGTCTATGTTAGGTATTTACCGATATCATGAAGACCTAATAAAATATTTACCCAGTACTTGAGAGGTAACCTGAACTATAACGTACTATTTATAAAGGCATATTGGAGGTATATGACACTATGACATAAAAAAATTGTTATCAGAATATAGAAATATGTTACCAAAACTAATAATTCATGTATATTAAAAAAAAGTTTTAATAGTTAGATAATTAGTAAACAATATATATTGTGACAATAACTGCATTTCTTGTCGAAATTTAATTGATATATCCGTACCTAAGAGCCAAACTGTATTAATTCCATTTTTTTTTTCAAATCGGTATTAAGATTTTGTTTCACTAAACAAAATGTATGGACATAATACAGTATTTAGTTTAAAGAAGGTTGTAGAAGGGTTAAAGAGAAAAAGTAACTGCGGCATTAAAAGCAAAATAAGTCGGTCTGTCATGCAAAGATACCTGTCATTTAAAATGTCTGACAAAAATATCTGAAGAGCACAGACAAGCTATTTATTCACTGTTTTAGAATCCTGATAAAAATATGGATTTAAAAAGACAGTTTGTTGCTTCTATGGTAGAGTGAGTTCCAATAGTGCATATACGCGCAACAAATGGAAAACGGCTGGTAAAAGGACTTTCACCAGAAACTATTTTTTTTAAGTCAACAATATTCGAGTAAATGTTTTCCAAAAGTTTTTTCTTTTAACTTGAAATATTGGAGAAACGTTTGTAACAACGGCAATTCGAAAAAAATCGGATGGTGGAATAGTAGAGGATCGAAGAGGTAAACACATCTTGGTAAACAAAATTTCTGAATTTGTAAAACAATGAGTTCGAGATCATAATATTAAGAAGTTTTCGGTACTACTATGCTATAGGAATACATTCGTCGGTATTATAGGCCGAGGTATACGCAATTTTGCAATGTGCAAAAACAAACAATGAAAGAGCTGTCGAAAATCAGCATATTCAAATAATGACAGACAGCCAAGCGGCACTAAAGGCCATATCGAGTCAGAAAATTACGTCGAGTCTGGTATGGGAATGCATCGAAGAATTAAAAACATTGGCAGAAGAATTAAAAACACTGGCAGACCGAAATAGAGTAAAACAATTTTGGGTGACAGGTCACCAAGGGATCGAAGGCAACGAAAAGGCCGACGAACTTGCAAAAAGAGGGTCAGAATAAACACCAGAACTAGACACGAACCCAGGAGTACCAAAAAGTACAGTCCAGGGTTTCATAAACGACTGAATTCAGGAACAACATATTAACTATTGTGGAAGTACCCCAAAACAGGCACATGGAAAAGCCTTCATAGGTAGACCATGTCCAAAAAGAACTGTAGAACTACTCTTAATGAATAGGAACCAATTGAAAGTGATAACAGGGTTTATGACTGGGCACGCCCTAATAAAGGGACACTTGAACAAAATTGGCATGTACAATGGGGAACTCATGTGCCGACTATGTCACAAGAAACCAGACACGACCAAACACAAACTGTACGAATGCGAAGCTCTAGATCGCAAAAGACAGGCTCTTTTTGGACAACCCCAGGTTAATCCAACAACGTATAGAACCCACTCACCCAAGGATCTTTACAAACTTGTACAAGGTACAAAGGTGACAGAGTGGGTGCTATAAACTAACAGGGGGTTAAATACAATAAGCCAATAGGCTTCAGTGTTATTCGGAGACACATAGTCAGACGAGCCCAGGAAAAAAGGCCTTTCACCAGAAATTATATTTTTTAAGTTAACAATATTCGAGTAAATGTTTGCCAAAATTTTTTTCTTTCAACTTTAAATATTGTAGAAACTGTTGTAACAACGGCAATTCGAAAAAAATCGGATGGTGGAATAGTAGATGATCAAAGAGGTAAACACATCTTGGTAAACAAAATTTCTGAATTTGTAAAACAATGAGTTCCAGATCATAATATTAAGAAGTTTTCGGTACTACAATCATACAAAGTAATGGAAAATTAAAATTCGTTACTGTGGATCTACAAAAATGTCTACCTACGTCCGTAATTACAAACCAACAAAGCCTTTATAAACTCAAGTTGTGGACATACAACTACACTATATCAGATTCTGCTGAAAACGTTACAACGTGTATCATATGGGACGAATTCAAATTTGGATGTGACGCAAATCAAATGGCATCTGGCATACTCAAATGGGCAGAGCCTTTAAGTGAAAGCGTACAAAAAAAAAACAATCTGGTCAGATAACTACCCATCAAAAGACCGTAATATGATTATGGTAATGGTATACTTTTGGATCTTAAAAAAGTATCCAAATATAAAAAAATATTATTTCTGCTACGTGGCCATACGCTTATGGAGGTCGATGGAAACCATTCCTTTATTAAATTTAAAAGTGCTGATGCCCTGTGACTGGCAGCAACTCGCAAGGCTGTGCTGCCGGTCACAACCTTTTAATTTATATTGGAAACATTGTTATGAATTCTGCCGGGAAAGAAGAACTTCACTTTTCCATTCTATATCTATCCCGTCTAAATTGACGGTTTTGAAATCGAGTTTTCTTTTCTTTGAAAGGCTACTAGTGTGGTTTTCGTGGGGTTTATACTAAATCCTACCTCACGGCACCATCTTTGGACTATATCACACAGGATATTTCCAAACTTGCCTATAGCAAATATGACTATGTTGTCGGCATAACATTGACATGATATTTATTTATTTAATACACTGTTCAACAGGAAATCTAATTAAAGAAGAGGATTACAAGAAAAAAAAATATTCACAATCTGAACAACAAAATTCAAAAGTAAGTAGGTTACAATAAGAACAAGAAATAAGGGAAAATGATTACTAATTTTACTTACAAGTACAATTAAAGATATCTAAATTACTGCACATTTCGTTAAAACATTCACATATTACATAAATGGGAGAGCTTTTTAAAACATTTGTTCTTGGCACTGGAAGGTAAAAAGTGCATGCAGACCTTGCCGAAAACCGAGGAACATGAAAGCTAATCCCTTCTAATATGGCGGAATCATCAATTTTATCAGTCAGTAACATAAATAGAAACAGCAAAGAGTTACAAGAATGGTGAGCTGATAAGGTATTAACTGCGTGTCTTTGAAAAAGAGAATTATAAGGCGTTCGGATCGCAGGGTAGACCCCATCAATTTTGAAACTAAACAGTTTTAAAAATTGTCTTTGGACTTGTTCTAAAATGTTAATATGAAGTTGATAAAATAGCTTCCAAACTACAGATGCATACTCAAGTTTTGACCTTACGAATGCATTGTAGAGGGTGGTGAGTGTAGACGGATTGGTTAAGTCTCGACTAGCCCGTAAAACCAATCCGTAAAGACGAGAAGCAGCGGATATAATAGTATTTATATGCGGACCAAAAGATAATCTCTATCGAACGTAACACCTAAATCTGTAATAGTAGTTGGCCTTTGGAGGATTGTGTTATTAATGATGTAATCAAATATTACAGGATTAGCGCTATGATCATGTGATATGACAAAACATTTCGCAGCAATAAGCGATAAATTGATTCTTAGACACCAGTATTCAACTCTATCAATATTAGCTTCAAGGCGTTCGCAGTGGGATCGTCAAACACAATTTTAGATCGTCGGCATATAATAACATACAATTAACATAAAATATATCAGTGATATCGTTAATAAATAATATAAATAATAAAGGGCCCAGGTTTGAACCCTGTGGCACTCCTGATTTTGGGATATACTCCACTGATTTGAAGCCGTTTATATACACATACTGTTTACGGCTTTGAAGATAAGATGTAAATAGTTTTAAGAGGGAATCATGAAATCCGAATAATTTTAATTTAGTGAGCAAGGTTCCGTGATCTAATGTGTCAAACGCCTTAGTAAAATCTGTGTATACGACGTCCGTTTGCTTTTTACTGTCAATATTCTCGGCAATGATTTGTTTTACAAAACCATGTTGATCCGATGAAATTTTACCGCTGATGTGCAAATTAATATCGCGATACAATAAAACCTCGAACACCTTCGAAAAGTTATAAATTACAGATATTGGTCTATAATTGGTTACATCATTCCTATCTCCCTTTTTAAATATAGGACACACTTTCGATGTCTTTCACATATCTGGAACGGTAGATGTTTTAAGACATATATTTAACAACTCCATTAGAGGATAAGCAAGGGCATGTGCATAGTCTTTAATTAGAAGAGCCGGTAGGTATATCATCGGGACCTCTAGTTTTGTTTGCTTTTACTTTCTTTAAAGTATACATTACGTCTTTTTCACTAAAACTATTAATAGAAAGACAAGTAGGTATATTATTGTGTATCATCAACTGTAAAATATGGATCTGACGACTGAATGAACGATTGTTGAAAGTGTTCGGCAAAACCATTTACAATAGAATTAGGATTCTCTAAAATAATATTATAATTACTCATATTATTAGGTACGGAATTAAAACCATCCGTCCTATTCACAAAAGCCCAGAAACTAGAAAGATTCGTGGCAATATTTGATGAGTAGTTCGTTTATCGTTCGACTTCACATTACAGAGTTTGATTTTTTTACTTATCGTGCGGACAAAAAACGTGACATCAGACGAACGGAAAAAATAAATAAATAAGTATAATAAAATGTTTGACCAAATATATTTTTAATATTGTGATTGACATTTGTAAGACCTACTTTATATTTAGCTAACATGACTTTAATTTTTAACTGGTTAAATTCAAAGTAAAAAGTCATTTTTAAAACTATGTTTCATAATAACCGATGCTTATAGAACGAGATTAACAGTTTTAACTAAGATTACATTTTAACTGCCTATTGTACAACCCGCCCTAGCCAAGTATAATTTTATATTTTTTTAGATAATTTGTTAATAAACGTTCTTAGATAATAATTAAATTGAAAATTTAAATGGGTATTTGATTGTATGTTACAATACGTTAATTTTGTAAGTTTTCACAAAGTGTGGCATATTGGTTTTCAAGTTAAAGTGAGGCAAATTCAAAGTTGCTGAAAGCTAACATCAATAAATATTTAACAATTTTGTAAAGAAACTTGCAAGAAATTTGCCGCGAGTGTATTTTGCTCATAAATTTCACTGAATATAGCCGATACTTTCATTAGTAAAATTAAAACCTGTCTCGAACAAGGCCGTAACAATCAAAAACTAAATTTTATAAACATTTTCAGAACAACACAGAAAGAAAAATCTAGGTAAATTTTATATAAAGTACATCAAATAATACACAAATTTCTTTCACTATGGCGCCAACAGAGGTTTCTGTGAATATTAAAATTCGTTTCTCTTCGTGTCATTAAAGAATATTACGTATAAAATACAGAAATTAGTTGTAATGTCATAATTTAGTTTAATAACAAGTATAAAATTCCTTCGTAATATGGACATGAATTTCTATATTATGTAACCCTTATACAACATTTATATAGAGGTATCGAAATTTTCTGTATATGTGGTAGATATTTATGTACATAGTAATTAATGTTTTAGTATTTTTATAGAACAATTTGTAGTTGAAACAAAATATCTGTAAAAATAAGAAAATATTTGCGAAACATTTTGTAATCTAAACATGCTCTTCTTTAAATATATCAAAAAATTCTATAAATATAATAGAACAGTTTGTTAAATTTCCAAAACTCGTGATACTATTAACGAAAACTTCTACAAATGAAACAAAATACTCTTTATCTCTTACAGAACGTATTGGTATATTTGTAAAATAATTCGTAAGGTTAAAAAAAAATATCTGTAGATTTTACAAGTTTTTTTGTATTGTAATAAGCATTTCTGTATCCTACAACTTCTGATAATATTTTTCCAAAAATTTATGTACGAATATTTATAGGTACGGAACAAATTGTTAAACAAAAGTTCTAGAGTTTTAACTCTAGTTTTTAATATTTGTGACGAAGCAGGAACATTTTTTTAATTTTTAGGTTATTCTTAATTAGCTGACTAGAACCTTGGGGTATAATGTAAAATATTATGGTGTTACAGGTTATTAAAATTCACCTACTTTGAGCACCAAAAGGAAAACGACTTACATAAACCTATTTGACATTATATGAAAACAAAGTAAATTTTTTTTATTACAAGTATAAATTTTTATAATGTTATTGAACAGCTAGTGGAAAAATGGAATATGTAAGCTGTTTTGCCAAATATGTAATATTTTTTGTTTAAACATTACTAAAAGTAGTAAATTAGATGATTTTTAACTCCTGAATTAGAGTTATGGTTTTTGGCGATCTCAATGCAAAACACCCGCATTGGGACGCCAATTGCAAGAAACCCAATACGTCAGGGAGAACCCTGGATAGATTCGCCGAAGCAAATGACTACATTATACATTATACGGACGAACCGACTTTTTACTTAGACTCAGGACTGACTCCGAGCACACTAGACATAGCATTAACCAAAAACTTACCACACATACATAACATCAGGACAATCACGACACTTACTTCCGACCATGACCCCGTCTACCTTGAAATTAAAACCAATAAAATTATTACTAGACAGCAAGGCACATATTATGACTACAAAAACGCCAACTGGAGACGGTACAGACAAATACTTGACAATTCTATTACCATTAACAATAACATCACCGACACTCAAATACTAGAAACAGAAACACGTAATTTAAAAACAGCGATTATAGCAGCTAGAGACGCCTCAATTCCCACCAAAACTCACAGCCAATACCACGACGAACTACCCCAAGACATACTCGATCTAATCAATAACAAAAATTACTTACGTAAACGCTGGCAACAGCACAGACAAGCCGCCGATAGGGTTCGACTCCTCGACATCGGGAAACATATTAACAAA